AGAATGAGGACAATGAGGCCATGTTGTACAAGGTCTTGATATTTAGCCTCAGTAAAGTTGGGAACTTACATAATGTGACATTTTTGTGCTGTATTTGAACTGCATTAATTGTTACAGGAAATTATCAAATCCACAGCTGTGCTAGATAAAATTATTTAACTTTGTGGAATAATAAGTAAATCTAGATATCAGGTACAAGAGTAAGAAAATGTTGTACTAGATAATTATATCTATATATATATCTCTATACTGTGTGATGCGGTTGACACACTGAGGAAAGGGATGCCATCCAGAGGGACCTTGACAGCCTTGAGAGATGAGCCAGTATGAACCTCATGAAGTTCAACAAGGCTAAGTGCAAGGTCCTGCCCCTGGGTTGGGGAAATCCCAAGCAAAACTACAGGCTGGATGGAGATGGGATTCAAAGCAGCCCTGAGGAGAAGGACTTGGGGGTGTTGGTTGATGAGAAACCAAGCATGAGCTGACTGTGCGCTTGCAACCCAGAAAGCCAACTGTATGTTGGGTTGCATCAAAAGGAATGTGACCAGCAGGTCAAAGGAGGTGATCCTGCCCCTCTACTCTGCTCTCGTGAGACCTCACTTGGAGTATTGTGTACAGTTCTGGTGTCCTCAACATAAGAAGGCCACGGAGCTGCTGGAGCAAGTCCAGAGGAGGCCACGAGGATGATAAGAGGGCTGGAGCACCTCCTGTATGAAGACAGGCTGAGAAAGTTGGGGCTTGTTCAGCCTGGAGAAGATAAAGCTCCAGAGAGACCTAACAGCCTTCCAGTATCTGAAGGAGGCCTACAAGAAAGCTGGAGAGGGACTTTTTAAAAGTGCATGCAGTGTCAGGACAAGCGGGAATGGCTTTAAGCTGAAAGAGGGTAGATTTGGATTAGAAATCAGGAAAAAATGCTTCACTGTTAGGGTGTTGAGACACTGGCACAGGTTGCCCAGAGAAGTTGTGGCTGCCCCATCCCTGAAAGTGTTCAAGGGCAGGTTGGACAGGGTTTTGAGCAACCTGGTCTAGTGGAAGGGGTCCCTACCCATGGCAGTGGGGGTGGGACTAGATGATCATTAAGGTCCTTTCCAACCCTAACCATTCTATGATTCTATGATAATGCCAACTGGACTGGACATTGTATTGTTTCCCCTCAAACAATTGTTGTGTGCCAGGCAAGCGTAAAGAAAAGACGTAAGTAAATAGGCTGCAGCTTTATTAATGCTCTTCAGCTGAAGACTATTTGGCATTATCTTATACGGCAAAAGTGATCATTTATTTGCAGTCATGTTCTGTCATAGCCTTTACACAACTATCCTTCTATCCTTTGTGCAGCCTTCACCTTCCTATTGTCATCTGGCAGTTAAAAACCAAGGAACAGGGATATCAATAGGGGCCTAAATTCTTTTTCCAGACTTTATGTAAGATGGGTTTCCTGAAAACTCAGATCTAATCCATTTTATCCAGGAACTTGGCCTGTGGTGAAATGAAATCCAATTCATTTGACAATGGCTACAGACTCATCTAAAATGGAAGTCACCCATCAAAACAATGTCATGTGATGCAGGAATATCAATTTATGGCTCCTAAGATTTATTTCAAGAAATACCCAGTAGACTGATATATGACTGTGCGCCATGCATGCACAGTCTGACATATTGGGAACTGCTGATTAACTACTAGCTGTCACACTAGCAGTTAGTGTGTGTTCAGTAAGATTGTTACATTGACACTACCACTCTTTAAGCAAACAGCTAATCCAGCCTGCTCTTGTCTGTCTTCAGACTTACAGCACATGTGCAGGTGGACTGCACAGCATATATATAATACTGAACTGGACATATCAAACTTTCGCATACACTGTATACATTTGTCCAGGACTTCTGGATGTTGAATAGCTGGAGCTATTAATAGGGAGTTAAATCATCTTAAATCTATGCCTGGCACCGCTGCAAATTCAATCATGCATCCTGAATGGTTCAAACAGATTTTCATCTAATAAGAAAGGAAGAAAAAAACAAAAAACCAACAAACCACCAGCCAAAAAGATCATGTCATGTCAAAATACTTAAAAAATCTTTTCTATTCTCCCATGAAAATAAAGACCAATGCTATACAAATTGCAGGCCAGAAGGGAGACGAAACTGATGATAATGTCAGGAAACAAGCACTTAGAGTTTATGTATTATGAGAAGGTATGTAAGGACTTGATTTCCTTCCTGGCTCATTGAGCCACTCATCAAGTATGTTCCCATTTTTGCCACCTACTCTTTCTAAAACTGAAATCCTTTAAGAGCTGTCACTTTGACTAAGACGGTAGTCTTATATGTTAAGATGAGAGTATGTGACCTTTACTTGGATATGGACAAGGTCAGCCTTAGGTTCTCTCCATGTTATGAAACTGGCAAGAGTGGTTGATTATCTTGTTAGTACATAAAGCATTTGGCTGCTGCTGCACTTGCAGTAGTCTGGAAGTACTTCAGATTTTCTTTTTGAAGAAAATGAGCAACTTATAACAATCCATGTAAAAATTAACAGCATCTGTCCTTGATTATGTGCTTCTTTCAATTCTTTGCATTTTGGTACAAAACTCCCTGTGTTGTTGTCTATTTCAGAAATTTTTGATGCTTTGCTAGCTGGTGTAACAGTAGATCAAGACTTGTTTGAAGTGTGGGTCTGAATTCTTCATTTAGAGTATTTTCTAGATTCATTAGCCAATATTTTCAGAGCGTTATCTAACAATCATCAGGAGACATTTGCTCATTGTGAATACTTTCTTCTTATGCTTTTGTATTTTCAACCTCCTTGAGAATTCTTATGGCAGTTGAATTCAGCATGTAACTGTGTGTGTGAAGCTGGAAAATACTGAAAACTTGTTTTGCAGTTTGGCACAAATTAACATAAGTAATCTTACTGAAGATATATTAAGCATTTTTGTATAGATTAAGTCTAATTTGCGAAGTTATACTTACTGGGCAATAATCTATCTTTTAATCTCTGAAATTAAATGACTGAGAGGAACAAGATGTGAACAATGGCGGAGAATTGAATGCAAATTCAGCTAAACTAATTAACTAAAATATTCTTTAAAGCATTTGAAACAACATAGAAATACAGCTGTGCTTTTTGATCAAGTTTCAGTTGTAGTTGGGTAAATGGATAATATCTTTTTCAAAGCTTGGAAAAGATTTTGCTCAGAGTTTTAGCTCTGTGTGTCTGTAGAATTAGGTTAGTACAGTAATCTGGTAACTAGAGTGTCCGTTTTCACACCTGGAAGTGTGTGGATATTTGAAGCTCTGAGCACTTGCAGCACTATGTGTTGCCAGGCAAGTCTGCGTGCTTCGTATTTGTAAATATAAATGATGGTTGTCACAACAAGGGGACTGAGGACAGAGGGCAAGAAATACTGCCTCTTCCTCAAGGCAGACCCAAAACTCTGCTAACTGAAACTCCAATGTTCTGTGTAGTTCTGAGAGCTAATGCTTCAGGGGACCTGATTTAGTTGTCATTGCTTTATTAAAATGAATAACTACTGATAGTACTCAACCAAAATATTTTCTCAAGGGCTAATATTGTGCTACCTGTTGTACTAAAACTATTTATAATTATCTAGGGATTTGATTTTTGTTTAATTTTTTACATACACACAGTTATATATTCAATAATTTGGCTTTACTTTCAGACTGAAGGTGTCAAATCTGAACTGATAAAAATTACTGTACTGTATTATTAATTTAGAAAGAATCAGCTTTACTGATTTTCTTGTTATTCTACTGCTCTACAAAACCACAAGAGAAAAATTGGAGATGTATGGTTTCATTCTAATTGTCTGATAGAAATGTTTTGATAGCAAATCTGTCTGAGTCAAAATTATTTTATTTTTCTGGTTTTTTGTTTGTTATGCATGTACGGCCCTTTATGTGAAAAGGACATTTCTGAAGATTGGAGTTAAAATACTTTATGCTTTTTGAAAATAAGTAAGTCTTGGATTTAAAATATGCTATTAAGCCATGTTTAAATATATGTCAGAGATGTAGGGGAAAAACCTTCAGCGATAACTTTTTTTCTGTATTTTAATCACATTTCCTTACTTGTTTACAACATGCTTTTTACGCACAGATTTCAAACAGAGTTGTTATAAAGCAGTGTTTTTCACTCAATAGTATATGTCCTCTGTCTTGTGACTTATTCTTTCACAAAGAAAATTAAGGCTAGATTGTAAAGATTTTACTCTGTTTGCAGCACAGTTTAGAAATCTGGAACATTAATTGCTAAATTTAGAGGAAACCAACCCATCAAAACCTTAAGTTTTTAACCTGATAATTTATATTTTCTTTTCTCCTTTCTCAACATAACTGTTCACAGCTTCTCTGCTTTCCCGCTTTCTCCTCCACCCATCTTCTGTTCCATTCTGAATCCCGAACAAGATTGTGCAAAAGTTAGTGCCCTCCTACCGCAGCAGTCAGCAACAGAGCTCATAAATATCTCACTCACACTGAGTCTATCCCAGACTTTTGCCCTATTTGGCTATAGAGGCTAGATTAAAAGGTAAATTCTGTCCAAAACAATTTTGTTGATGATGGCACAGATCAGATTCTTTACATTTTAACCAGGATGGGGGCGAAGGGGAAAAGGAGAAGCGGAGCAGAGAGGGTGACTGCTTGTGCCAATTTTATCACTTTCATTCCTATTGCTGTCTTCTAGGATGTCACTTTACAGTGCTAGTTTTCTGCTTCTAATTCACGTGATCTTGTTGTGCCATCCTTCTTCATTGTATGCTGTCTCTGCCAAACAGGACAGCTGCTGGTTCAGTTGCTGTAGCATTGCCATAAGAAAAAAAAAAAAAAAAAAAAGAAAAAAAGTGTGGGTGTATTAAATATATTGTCTTTCCTCTCTGAAATAATCTAGTCTGCATTTAATAAAAGCTACATGAAAAGTGGAGCTGATCCATGAACAGTCCATGCCTATATGTAAATATCTACTTTATTCTTCCATTACAGGATATTTGTGAAGACATATCTGATCACGTTGAACAAATTCATGCTCTGCTAGAGACAGAGTTTTCCCTGAAGCTTCTGTCTTACTCTGTCAATGTGATAGTCGATATTCACACAGTACAACTACTCTGGCACCAGCTACGTGTTTCTGTTCTGGTTCTGAGAGAGCGTATTCTCCAGGGGCTACAAGACGCCAATGGAAACTACACCAGGCAGACTGATATTCTGCAAGCATTTTCTGAAGAGAATAAGGAGGTATAGTAACTAAATTCAATACTAAGAATTTCATCAGTATTTGAAGCAGCTCATCCCTGTTGCGCATTTAAAATTGCTAGGAGGACAATTTTAAGGGTGTCCTACATGTCTTCTAGGTATTTTGCTAGTTTTGTGTTTTAAATGTCTTCAGCTGATATCTGTTCTTATTAAACCAAATTATAGCAAATTAAGGTCAACATTCAGAAGTGTCTTGCTACTTAGAGGTACATCTGGTCCAAAGGCCTTGGTCTGGTCACTTGTGAATTTAAAGTTCCTATCTAATTCAAAACTAATTTTTTATGCACAACGAATTCTTAAATGAAAAGCTTAGACATTTCCCTTCTTGTATACACAAACCTGACGGGCAATTCTGCAATATGCCTCTTAACAGTCACATATTTTGCCTGAGAAACAATAATTCATGAATTATATATTTTGTACTCTAATGGGGTGTCAAATTCACACACTAATGGTTTGAAAATCTGCATTCATTTAACTAAAATGCCTTTCCCATTGAATTCTTAATTACTAAATTAGCTTAGTTAGAAGGACGCTACTGGCCTAATTTTTAAAACTGAAAGGTTGCACATTTTTAGTAGGGTAATGTGGTTAACAGAAGATACCTTAGCATGTAGAGGATTCTTCATTTGCTGAAAGTTCTAAGATTAGGACAAAATGCTTTTGTTAGGATTAGATACATTTACAGAGGGAGACTTTTAGATCAATGCAGTGAGATTCTGCGACCTGTGTTACAGAGGAAGTCAGAAGTCTCTTAAACATGTCCTGGATTTCAGATTACTCATGTTTAAAAAGAATGTGTGTATTTCTTTGCTCTGGTTTTATATTTGTCTTTGGCACAACAGAGTGGGTGGTCCTGAAATCAATGCTCAGCTATGCCCAGGCTCACCTTCCACACCTCCTCTTCCTGATGTATATGTACCTGGTGATTCAGATTCAATTTCTGTTTTGCTGTTGCTTGTAAACCTTCTCTGGCAAGTCTGATGGAAATCCACACCTGCCTGAATATCCAGAGTGGTGAATTAGAGTGAAGGCATTATTTTATGACACAAACTTGATGATTTCAAGACACAAGGAAGGGGCAGATTCAGATACTAAGAAACAGGAAATGTCCCATCTGGATCTGATTACAACTACTATAAAAAACATCCTGTCAATACAAGGGAGGACTGAATGGGAAAGGATAGATTATTTTTCAGTGGGGAAAAAGCATATTGCCAGATAGGCTTACTTGGTAATATATAAGATAAAATACCCTGACACAATTCTTCTTTTTTTTTTCCCCACCCCAACTAAAACATAAATAATACTTGATAAAATTAATGGCTAGCAAGAGCAAGGATACAATATTAATATTAAGTTTCTGCTCTAATGCTTTGAATAGATTCCCAGAAATTGCTCTGTAGTTTCTAACCTTCAGGTATTTATTCAAGATTTTCATTGCGTATAATGGTAGTGGCTTTATTTGATGAAAATAAAAATACAACCCAACACAATGTAGAGACAGTTGTGTCTACTTATATCTACCTTTTATTTTTTTGTGTGTGTTTCCTGCATATCCTTTCCCAGACAGGGGCTACACTGTAGGACTAGTAAGTGCCTCACGATACAAGTCTTATCTAGTAGGGGTTTTCATGCATTTGTGGACAGTGAACCTGGAAACCTTTGCCCATACACTTAACCCTTCCTTGGAAAAATCATTTTGCTAATTTTCAGTACTCCTTGAGGAATATGAAGTGGGAATGACAGTGTATTTTTTTGTCCTAAGATTGAGAAGTCAGCTGGTTTGAAATGAATTGAAGGAAACTTTCACAGACAACAAAGATTTCTATTTTGGAATTCACTGCTGTAGGACACTTAGAATTGAAAAGAATTTCAAATAATAAATCTGAAAACTAAGCAAAAATTAGAGGAATTATAACCTCCTGATGAGGAAGTACCTATGCTGCTCACTGGTACAAGCTGGGAGCGTGGGTAGAAATGTTGTGCGTGGAAGGGACATGTATGTATACCCATGTCTTAGCTCAGCTAGCAGAAGATGTTTAGAACTGATGCAGAAACAGGATACTGGGCTAGACGGAAATTTGATCTGAACCAGTACAGCAAATACTATACTTTTCTGTAGTCCATGAACCTATGATTTCACAAAATGTTTGGCTCCCTCCTTAAGTCAGCTGTCTTCTGTGTAGTTCTGAAGAGCAGCTTTGGCTGCCAGTGTAAACTGAGGAGCTCCATGGAAGAAGTGACCTGCCAAGGTTTCTTTTGTGTTCAGAGAGACAGTCTGATCTTGTTAGTATTCACTACTCTCTCAGTTCATAGACTGCACAGTCAATCACAGCTCAACAGTCCCACATGGGCTATATTTAGACTGCAGCCATAACACACAGCAATGTGTACAAGCTAGCTGCAACATAATCAATGAACAGGAATATCACTGGCAAAGTAGCTACCAGAACTTGAAAGTGTACAGCACAAGCTGTACTGACTTGGTTAGAGACTCAGCTCATTATCTGGGCAGGCAGTAACTGTGCATTTGGCCATCTCAGCAGTGCCAGAGTGAATAAGATGCCAGCAGGAAAGGCCACAAAAAGTTTTATGGCAGTAAGGCAAGCTGCCTGCCATAATGGAGATGTCAAATTAAGAAAATAGTTTTTAAAATAAAAAACTTAGTACTGAGTTACAATATCAAAGAACCATTTCTCCTTCAGGAATTACCCAGAGACAAATAAGAAGGAAAGAAAAAAAGAGTTCTGTGTAGCCAGAGTTCTGTGTAGCTGAACCTAACCTGTGAAATTTAGTTCACAATTGATAAAGCCAGGAAACAGGGAAAGGATCAGTACAAGACTATGTTAAAATACAGTGAATCATGATGTCCTCAAACAGTTGGTAAAGTCAAAACAGAAATATCTTACAAATTAGCTGATGTGAAGGAGTAAAAAAGTGCACAATCATGCAAGTTTTAATAGAAATACAAGAAGATATTAAAAAAAGCCTACAGAGCTTTACAGGAAGCATTACTATATGAAGAGGGACAGATTTTTTGACCTAAAGTATTCCTATTGGAAGCCATGCAAATAATAATAGTAAAAGCATGGTAATATTAACATTAAATAATGCCCCTTTGAAGCACACGTTTAAGAGGCTGCTTGGAAAACCACCAAGTAAGATGGTTTAATGCATGTGATTGTAAATTTTATTAAAGTTAATAAACACTTTTTTAAGTGATGAAGGAACAGAGATCATTACTCAGGAGAAATGAAGGCCCTTACGGCCTTGAAAAAGGTTTTGATTTATATATGGTTTTACAGTTTCTAATATTTTCCTGAGATTAGGGGAAAAATACAGCTGTGATGCTGATCATTGTTTAGTCATTATTTTCCTTAATAAATGCAGCCCCAAAATATAAATTTGACAGATTTATAAAATCTTCCCCTTTTAATTCTAGACTATTGACAGTATATGATTTCTGGCATAGTTCTACGTCTTGATAGATTGGTGCTAAATAAAAGATATTTTCAATGTCCAAGATTATGCGTGATAAAAATTGTTCTAATCAGCCTCTTCTATAAATAATATTTTTAAGTGGAGCATTTTTTGTATTTTTGCTTTGAGTAATGCAAGCAGGGTAGACAGAGTACAGGGCTAAAGTGTTATATGGTTATAGAAGATGGCAAACGATAGCCTTCTTTATTGAGACTATTGTTCAGACCAAAATCCAATTGGTTTCTTGTGAGATTAAGAGATTATGGGGTTATTGACCTTTCTTCGGGCATGATGCTTAGGGTCCTTAAACTATGGATTTAGGCAGTGTAGTGATACAAGTTGTTCCAGAGAGTAATTCAGACAAGAACCTATTGTGGAGTTTGCTTTAAAAAACTGTTATGAAATTAAACCTGGGAAGAAAGACCAGTATAATGGTTTAAGCATCTAAAGTTAGAATCATAAAACATGAGTTTCTGCCCTTTATGATGCTTTTTAAGTAGTTTTTGTAAGCATTTGGGCTAATATTGACTTTTTAATTTTATATTATGCCTTGCAGTTTCTTTGTCCAGCTGGCACTCTCTGCTGATTTTTCTTGTTCTAGATAGCTTCATGAAGTTACTGAAGATGAACACCAGTGTAAATAAGAACAGAAATTGTTTCAGAATTATTTGATCCTATGTTCAGGTTTCTAATTATGTGCCAGGATCATGAAATAGGTGTTAGAACATTAAATCATCTACTAAAAATATACTTCTAAACTGTTGACTGAACATAATTTTACTGTGATTGTTATGTATCAGGCTGCATTTGGATCTTAATGTAGTCAGATTTTTTTAGTGTCCTTCAAATAAGCCACCAAAGTATTTATAAACAAATTCAGCTTTGATCTTAAAATCTCATCTGCCACCTGAGATGGTCTCCTCTAGCTATGTCTGTGTTTCTGAGACTGAAGGACTTCCACTGAGAAGATGTTGACAAGGAGACATGGCAGGCCAGAGGTTTAGGTTTACCAGCTATAGTTTCTTTTCTTTGAGCTGTTCTCCATTTGTGCTACAAATATCCAGCAGATAAATCCATAGTTGATAATACCTGGAAAAAATATTCTGGCAATCAACTGAAAGATTGTAGAGAAGCATGGATTTGTACAAGATTAACAAGGTGGCTGATATACTCAGCAGTCCCAAAGATGCCCTCCCTCCTGTTTGAGGAAGTTAACACAGGAAATACTATGAGTCTTCTGTATGGAATTTCTGAGTCCTTCCTATGGAGGTAGAGTAAGTAGAACTGAGAGCAGAATTTGAGGAGCAGAATATCAGTACAAAAATAAGTTGCTGTTTTTAGGTAAATTGCTGTACTAGAGTGAAACTAAACATTTTGAGTTTCCTGACAATTTTAATTCCCAAATACTTCAAAATTGTTCGCTCAGCCACAGGTTACTGCAAAACCAGACAGGTCAGTGATGAATGCTTTTCTAGGTGTTAGGCAGTGAGTCATAGAAGCTGATAGTTCATTACTTTTGTGTGCTGTATATGAAAACTAATTTTCTAAAAAAGCACCATTTCTTTGTCTGTTTCAGGACCGTCTTGACTCTTTAACTGAAGTTGATGATTCTGGACAGTTGACCATCAAATGTTCTCAAAATTACTTGTCACTGGATTGTGGTATTACTGCATTTGAACTGTCTGACTACAGTCCTAGTGAGGATTTTCTTGGTGCTCTGGATGATATGACCTCCAGCCAAGGGAAAGCAAAATCATTTGAATCCTGGAACTACAGTGAGATGGATAAGGACTTTCCAGGACTTATCAGAAGTGTGGGTTTACTTGCAGTAGCAACTGATTCCATTTCTTCCCAGTGTAATGAAGCATTAAATGAGAAAGAAACCCATGTACCTCATTCATCAGAAGATGGAGAAGAAAATAAAGACAGGAAAGCACCACATGAGCTTTCACTAGTATCTACTTCTGTGAACTCCTCGCTTTCTAAAGGACCTTGCTCTGTAGATGGTGTTTTAGCTACTGACAGCAAACCAGTTTCCACATTAAAGAAACCAGTATGTAATCTTCCACAGCACACCAATGAAAAAGTCAAACATTCTCACTGTGAAAATTCAACTCCCAAGAGGTCCATAAGAGACTGCTTCAATTATAACGAAGACTCACCTACACAGCCTACATTGCCAAAAAGAGGTCTATTTCTGAAAGATGATGTGTTTAAAGATTATATGGAAGCCAGTGATTTAAAAAGGCAAATCTCTCAGATAGTTAAAAATGAAATGAGTAGAAGTACACCCTCGTTGTTAGATCCACCAGACAGGTCCAAGCTTTGCCTAGCTTTACAGTCACCCTATACTAACAGTCCATCTGCAGTTAGTCAGTCATATGATTGCTTAAATATAATAGGTGATAGAAACCTTGAGTACACAATAAATAATCACTTTAAGGACAGTCCCATAAGTCTAGGAAAGTCTGCTTTCTACAGCTGTAAAGAAAAATCAAAGCACAAGAAGTCTCATGATGCTCCAGATAAGGTGAAAGCTGGTGGAACACCTGGAGGTATGTGCAAAACTGCTCCATCAATCCAAGTCAAAAAAAGAGGACATCCTTCTCTACAGAATGGAATTACTTCTCATAACTCTCAGTCTCTGGAGGTGACAGAAACAGATTTTTCTTCATCATCAGATTCTTGTAACCAGAGAGCTCCAAATGGACAATCACAAGATAAAACTGAGCCTTTTAGTTCACCAACATGTAGCCAAAAGAGTGCTTCCTCAGCTGGTTCTGAGCTTGCCAATTCATCACCTCTTCTACTGAGAAGAAAGAATAATAAAAGCTTCTCCTCAACACACATCTATACTCAGAAAACCAGTAAAGATGGTGAGGTCTGGTATGGATCTGATGAATATTTAGCACTTCCTTCACATCTCAAACAGACTGAAGTATTAGCTTTAAAACTAGAAAATCTAACAAAGTTGCTTCCCCAAAAGCCTAGAAGAGAAACCATTCAAAACATTGATGACTGGGAGCTGTCAGAAATGAATTCGGATTCAGAAATGTATCCAACGTACCAAACAAAAAAGCACAAAAAAGTGGGTAGAATTTCACCGAGCTCTTCAAGTGATATAGTATCCTCCCTAGGTGACAGCATTGAATCTGGGCCTCTCAGTGATATTCTCTCTGATGAAGATCTTTGTACGCCTGTATCTTGCATGAAAAAATACTTTGAAGAAAAGTCAGAAAGGACTGCTGTCACTGAGCCCACGGAGAATGAGACTTCTGCCTCAAATAAATCAGCTTTAATTCATCAACTGATGCAAGATATACAACATCAAGAGAATTATGAAAGCATATGGGAAAAAATTGAGGTAAGCCAATAATCCTGTGTTCTTCTGTGCTCTTGATAAGCCTATATATGGAAATGGAGCTGTGGGCAGGGGTGGAGCTGCTTTCTTGTTTTCTTTTAATAATGAAAATAGCCTCACCTAATGGATGCTAGAATTAGAGAACAGCAGTGATCATTGCAATTATAATAGAATGAAGTTATCTTTAGGTATACAGAATTTGCCTGCATTATTTTACTTGCACCAATGCTTTTAAACTTGGCAAAACATTATTTTACCAATAGAGCTTCTCTTTGCCAAGATCACGTACATGATAAGTTATTTTTTTGGATGAAGTAAAAAAAAAAAAAGGCAAAAAAGGAAAATTAGGGATCTTTGTTGTATGATTCAGGAATAAGAACTAGCTGCAACAGCTGGCTGCAGCTGTGAACACCCACTTCCTCTCCATACCCATCCTCTTCTCACCTCTTCTGAAGTGTGGATTGAGCTTGAGACAGCAATTAAAGGTAGTTAGCTGTTTGGCCAGAGTAAACCCTTTTAGCTAGTGATTGCAGCTGCTGCTCTTGTCCTACAATTTCTCAGTGTTCCTCATTGTGAAGAATGTTTGGGAAACACTGATCATAGAGTTTGAAAATAATCTTATGACGTATGTTGTGGAAGGGACTCAATAAGAGAAGCTTTAAACAGAAAAAAGACCAGATGCAAAGTGCACTCTAGGAAGAGAGATAGCTCAGTGATCCATGCCCTTAAAAGCAGCACACAAGAAAATTTCAAGTTTATTTCATGCAAAAGATGTATGCTAGCTACACTAAATGGCTTGAAAATGTACTTCTTGAATGATGAATAAAAATAATCTAGAGAAAATTTTTGAAATGTTTTGCAAAGTAATTGTAATATTTTAAAGAAATATAAGCTTTTCCCAAACTGCTTGTTTACCAGGGTTTTTCCACTGTTACTAGTAATTGTATCTTCTGCTTGTAAGATTAGTAAAGAACCAATTTTTCAATACAAGAGTTCTTACCGAGGTAAATCCTGCCTCAGTAACACTATGGTGTCTTGCTGAGGTATTTTAATTTGACATACATAATAGAAAAATAGAAAATTCCTCCCTTATGTGATGTTATGAATACTGTAAATGAAATCTAACTGAAAATGCCATCCCTGTGTCACAATTGAGTTCTTTCTTTTGCTAGATCGCCTTTTTCATATTCCCTAAGCAGATTATCAAAAATGTATCATTACTTCTTTAATTATTGTCATTTGGCAGTTACATTATTTCTGTTTTTTAGTAAGAATTCTCCAACTCAAAGAAGGCTTTCCTAATTGCAATACATGTCTTAGCAATGATTCAATACTGCTTTCGTTCAGTGATAGGTTTATTTTAAAGAAGTCAGTTTGAAATAAGAACTTAATTAAGGACAGAAAAGGCATACTTGTGCCCATTTGAAATCCAGTTACACTGCTGAAAATGCCTACCCTAAGACATCTTTTACTTATTCATATTGTAAACCAAACCTAAAATAGCTCAGTCTTTTATTTTGGGGTAACAACAGTTTAGAAAGAGCTGGCAGCCTCAAAATCATTGAGAGGCATGTTTTAGCTAGATAAAAGGGAAAACAAGGAAGTTTCAGTATTTTATTACGCTGGGAATAATTTTGAATTAGTGTATATCTGGTAATATATTGATAGTAAGAAATTTTTTTAATATATGCTAAAGCATTTATTGGAAGCCTCATTCATTTCTGACTTACATAGAGGATAGTCATGTGCAGAAGCTGATAAAATGTACTTTTTTATACTTGAAAAGTATATGGATGTCCTGCATGGGTATTATCATGTTGTCAATCTCTCTGTCTACATACAAACACAGTTCTGTTTGACTGGACCATTTGCTGTTGCAAAGGATCACTTTTTTGCTTTGCAGTAAATATTGCATGTTCTTGCATATTTTGCCTTGCACTGCAGCTAATTCTTTGACACATGCTGCTTCTACCTTTGATACTGGGCACCTGCATTCCAGGGTACATAACAATTTCCGAGGCAGTTCCTTGTACGTTTCAGAAGCTACTTTTTGGAGTTATATCTGAGAACAAATGATACCAAATTATGAATGTTCCTCTTATTGTTAAGTATAGTTCAGCTTTTAGTAGCTACCCCAAATGAATTTTTAGAATGCAGATTAAGCTCTATAGTTTCTGTAATACTGACTGAGGGGGAAAAAGATATAACAAAATCATTCTCACCGGTAAAGTCAATAGAGTTCTCTGCTTTAAAATGCCTGATTGCCACTTCTCATATGTAACACTAGGACTCCATAGTATCAGTCTCAGAATGCTTTAAGGTTTACTTTCTGTAACAAAACTAAGTTTTCCTTAAAAATACACTTATAATTGATCTCCCCTTCCCTCCCCCACCTCCCCCTTTTAATGTGCAAACTGAAAATTTAGAACAAAAAACTGATCTTGGCCTGATCTAATGACAATGCATTTTCAATCATCTTAAGTGAATAAAATAATAATAATAGTAATAAACCTTGTTCATGCAGTTTTATCTTCTTCTCTAGAAAGCAATGCTAGATTGGCTATACTGACATCCTTGTGTTGTAATCCATGGTCACCGATAACCCTGTCTACTTGATTTTTGAGGGCACTACTACAAATGGTAGAAATGTAACCATTTGCCAGACGCACCATTTAGATGAAGATGTGTTTGCTTGGCAGGCCTTAGTTGTATGGAGAAAATTGCTGGGTTTTTTTCCTGTTATACAGACTTATATCTTGTTTTACAGCATGCTTCATTTCTGTAAGAGGCAGACGAATTTGCTTTGCGAGAAGTAATTTGGTATCTATCAATCTCATCTTTCTAGCTCCTCACATTTCATGAATTTGCGCTCAACTCCAAGGCTTTGTATTTTGTCTGAGGAGCCCAGTGAGCCTTGGCACTGGATAGCCACCTTCATGACATGTTAAAGAAATAAAACAATGCTGCTCTGCATGGTTTTCTGCTGTGGGTTGGAGCATGCCCCAGGGATCCTACAGCAAAGAGCTGGGTAAAAGATTTTGCTGCCTCCCAGGACCCAGTCAGGGAACCTCTCACGCCTGTGCAACCATTTATGCCCTTTGAACCCAAGATCCCTCAGTAGAGCAGAGATTAAAAACAGCTTTTCAAATTATTGGGGTAACAGAAATAATTTTCCTGTCAAGGAGAACTATAGATGGAGTGGTCTGCAAGGGAGAGTGAAGTATCAGAGCTTGTTAGTGTGATGAATAGCTTGTGTGTTTGGGTAGGAAAGATTTGCATTTTTAGAGGGTATTCACAGAAGTTGACTAAAGGTGAGTAAACAGTAGGTTTCTGCAAATGGTTGATGGACATGGCTGAGCAAGTTTGTATTGGAGATGTCATTGGGAGTTCATTGGACAGTGGAGAGCCAATTGGTTCAAAAATGTTTGGACAACTGACACAAAGAGGAAAGAATTTGTGTTGTTTAGATTGTAAGGGGACACTTGCTTCTAGGCAGAGAATGGATTGATATCACACAGTACAGTTAAGGTAGAAGCTGGATTGCTTTAGGGGAAGCAAAGTTTATTGTGTTTGGAGGTGATTTTCATCACTGGGAGAAAAAGCATGCATAGAGGACAAATGAAGTTTGGGCTATGGGGCTAAGGTAATGAAAAATTAATACGGATTGATAATGCTGAAGGGGATTGCTAACAAATTAAAAACACAGAACTGAAATCAGTAATGATAGAAGAGGTGGAAAAAGCAAAGATAATCAACAGGGAACGGGACTGGCTTATTTTGGATTACCAGACAAAGGATTTTTAAGTGTTGTAGTGCTCCACTCAGCCCTTTTGCTTTCAGTGACTTAATAACAGTGCTCGTAACTGATCCTCTTAAAATAAATGGACTGCATATTTTTGCTAATAGATGGAGAGCTTGACAAAATTTGTTCATCTCTGAAGCTCACTTATACTGCTTCATACAATCTAGATTGAAATACTGCTCTTGGTAGATGACCAGTTTATAAAAAAAAAAAGGATCCAGAAATTCCTTGGCAACTGCAGTTTTCTCAGCAGTCTTTCTGCTTTGTAGAGCGTAATTGAAAATGCCACTTCACATTTTGTACTGAGAGTCAAGTTTGTGCTCTCTTGCTCTGAGTCTGATGATACTCTACTGCTTTGAAAGCCCACACCTCAGTTTTCAAGTTGGTTAAACTATTATTAAGCAGTAATGTATACATATGAACTCTCACTTTTCCTCAGAAAAATACTTCTTTACTAGAAGATGATACTGAAATACAGTGAACCTTCTATTCCTCCAAAACACTTAGTTCCTAACAGTTTGTTTGAATTTTAAACAGCTCCTCCAAGTACAATCACTTTTCTTTGGCATTTGCTTTACCACAAATTGTCTGAGCAAGTTTGTCACCAGCAATCTTCGCAAAACCAGCAACTTCTATGTAAGCTGTGCAAATACTGAATTTATAACTTTACTTCTAAAACTTGCTGCCTGAATTATGCTTCCTTAATGAAACACATCTACTCTGAAGCATATGCTTGTTCAGAATGGTTTGAATTTCCAATGTAAAGACCTCAGAATGATTTGGCAGTGAGCAGTTTTAGGTTAGGGGTTTTTTACATTCAGTATTTGGCAAGTCATTCCAAATAACTGGGGGGAAGGAAGGGGGGAGGGGAAGAGAGAGAGAGAGAAATAGCAAAATCTGTTCACAAACAATTTTAGTGAGCATTGATTTGAGGATATGTCTTTACTAGTATTTAGAACTGATTGCAAAGGATACGTCTACATCCAGTGTTTGGCTCACATCTGATGAGAGACCTCTGGCTGCAAAAAGCCTCACAATTTTCTCCTGCGTACATAGTTGGATGCTACATCTCAGCTCAGGGATAGACACTAACAGCTTAGATGAACCAAGGAACAGTTGCTTTTGCATACATGATTCTATGAGCCCTCCTATTCTAATGCTGTCACTCAGATCAGCTTTAAGTGACCATTGGCCATAGAAC